TCCATTCAAGGTTAATTAGAAAAAGCGCCTTTTGTGATTATAACATTCTGATTGCTCAAGTCGCTTTCACTCCCAATCCTGCAAGCATATTTTATCCCGAGAAGAAGCAAAAAGGCCAAAGTAAAAAAGGATTAAACCCAAGAAAGAAAACCAACATGCCTACCCCATGGCAACTTTAATCCTTTATCAATGTTCAAACCTGCAATCATTCGACTGCTAATCGATTTTTAACTTAGCGACTATAATACCTTCTGCTCAAACTATTGGATCCCCGCTAGAAATTAATTGTCACTAAAATGCAAAAGTCGTCAACCTGGTACTATGTTTAGCAAGTGATTGACGTCAAACGTTTGCTCCAGGTCGTTCTCCTTACGTAAATGCGTTGTAGAATTTTGTGTACGATTTGTATATAAATCAACCTGCGTCTAGAGACCAGTAGAAGATCAAGTAGAAACCAAAAACAAAATATAAATGCGTGTACGTAGGGAGATTTTACGGCCGTAGTGTCTCAAGGTGACCGTCCACGTCATATCAGTGTACGGTAGCCAGTTGTAATGACATCACTTCTCCAGATGAGAGTAATGAGTAGGCATGTAAGCTCTGGTCTTGAGATGGTATGAGATTTGAAGGCGTAATACAGTAATTTTGAATCATGCTTTGAAATTTAAAAAAATAAAAATTCTGGAAATTCTTTCACAAGCACAAAAGCATAAAGCACTTCACACTTTCCTTATTTGTATCTTCGCTTTCACTGCACCCCTTGGTTTGCCAAATTTTCCCATTACATAGTCTTATTTTCACATATTCAGATGAAAACGGCAGCACAGGCTGATAGCCGCCATATGCGAATGTTCTTCATACTCGTATGTATTCTACTGATAGTTTTGACGCTCTCATTCCTAAACTATGAGAAGCAAATAGTGAGTTTCCTAGCTCCTCGATAAATTACCTTATAAAGAAGAACTTCATTTAAGGAAATAGAGCAAAGGCGTCAAAACTTGGAAAGCACTATAAGCAATTTTGCACAGAGGGTTGTTGCAGCAGCAAATGATCCTGATGCACAAGTTAGTGTGGATGTGATGAAAAATTACGTAGAGGTAAGTGTTTTTGGAAAGGTGAAAGTAACCTCCGTATCTAACACTCTATCAGTCGCCTTTTTCAACCATCGGACAGATAATGTTGGAGAAAGGGATTATTTTGATAGCCATACATTAACAAACTCCTTAAAACCCTTGATTGTCAAAAATCTCAATTCTAAAGAGTTTCGATAAACCAGAAGGAAATTTTGGCGTCCCTTAAATTGTAGAAAAATGCTAGAAAATTTGCTCACATATCCCCGCACACCATATTTCAAAAACTTCGTT